AGAGACACAGTGGCCCGTATTCAGAACGCGCTTACAACGATGTTAACGTTTTAACATGCTATAGTTTTCGTTACGCATACTATAGAATTGTAGAGATAAAAACGTGCTTTTATCAATAAAAACGCGTTCTGAATACGGACTAATATTATATATATAGTATCTCGTGTCAAGTAAACGCACAACGTGAAATTGTGTAATTTTGTATAGAATAAGTATAAATAAATAATGTACAAAAAAATCAAGGATATAGGATTTGGTATACATTCACTTATTATATTTTGAGGTCTAGCAGCGCCAAGTTTTTTGAACTTTTATTTTTTGAAATAAAATATATGTTATATATATTGTTAAAATATATTCCTTTCACAATTGGCGCAATTTAAAAAGATTTCATTTTATTTTGTGAGGCTAACACGCACACTTGGCGCCTTTTTTTCTTTTTTTTAAAAAGGTAATTTTGTTGATATATGTATACTGTTTGTAAATAAGTATAAACGGTATACAATGCAAGTTCGTTCCTCTCGCCCTAACCGCTTGTCTCGCTGGCGACCAAAGATGCTTTCTCGACAATCTCGGTCGCTCGACGTATATCAGTATAAGGGACAAAAAAAGACTTCTAAATAACATATTAGTTTTAATAAATTGTAATAATCATAAAATTTTCACATTAAAATCCACAATAGCATAAATCATGTCAAAACGCGATAATTTACGAGATATTAATTGTTTATGATTTTCCGTGAACGCGCGCGCGCGTAATCCTATTCGTAATCGAAATCTGTAAGAACAGCGTGGTCTCGAGCGTAACGTGCAAGATTAGCATGCTGTAGATTCTGTATTCAAATTAATGCTATTTTTTCCTCTTTTTTATCATATTTTTATTTTAAATAAGTAAAGTTCTTAATAAACAGCCTAATATATAATTATTAAAGTCATTCGTTTATTTTTAAACCAACAATTATATATTAGGCAGATAAATAATGACTTTACTTATTTTTAAAAAAATTATGGCAAAAAAGAGAAAAAAACGACAAAGATTTGAATACGGGATCTACAGCACAATAATCTCGCACCTTACGCTGGAGACCACACTGCATTCTCGAACATGACGTCTACGAATGGGGTACATGACGTGCACGAAAAATCGAAAACAATTAATATCTCGTAAACCATTGCATTTTGACATAATTTATGCTAATGTAGATGAATGGCAGGATTATGTCATTGATAAAATTTATCAAAAGTTATGTGTTATCGAGAATGTATTTTTGTCCCTTATACTGATATTCGCCGAGCGACCGAAATCGCCGAGAAAGCATTTTTGGTCGCTAGCGCGACAAGCGAAGTCGGCGCGGGGAGCGAAGGAGTGGGAGGGGGGGTAGGGAGCAGGCTCTGGCTCTGATCGCTTGTTTTCAAGTGCGCGGCATTGAAAGCTTTCTCGGCAATCTCGCGGACTCGCGGCCGTTTGGTGTATGTAAATGGTGTATGTACATGGTTACAAATTTATTATCTAATTTGCTAACGACAATGAATCCAGATGTTACTCATACGCTATAGTGCATGGTTTTGTCTTCATAGTAAAAAATTGTCATAAATCTTCAATCGGTCGACGGAATTAATTTTGACATTTATATTGACCTGTCTTTATCTTATTTACAAATTTTTTAAACTTGACTACAATGTCACACCTGTTGACATATTTTGACCGATTGGAAATTTATGACAATTTTTGACTATATAAATACAAAACCATGTACTATAGCGTATGAGTAACATCTGGATTCATTGTCGTTAGCAAATTAGATAACAAATTTTTCAAAAAAATTTTTATACCATCGGATATAAATGTATAAATAAACTAAATAAATTTATTAGAGTACAAAAAGATAAAAAAAGTTTATATGATAACAATAATTTGGTTTATAAATTACACTGTAAAGACTGCGATGCATCATATGTGGGGCAAACGAAGAGAAGACTTAATACTAGAATAAATGAACATATGAAAAATAAAAACTTGGAGGCATCTAAACATTCGGTGGTGACGTTGCATTCACTGCAATGTAATATTTCTGTTCTCACGAACTAATTATCTAATCAGTACGAATAAAAAACGAAAATGTTCGGCCGACCTTAAACTATAATGAGAATTTTTGTTTATTTTAATCCGTACTGTTATTGATAGTCAAAACTTTATTAGAATAATGCTCTGAATGCTGGTCCGCGGCGCGTGAGCGATCTCGACGCTACGTTGCCACGTAGGCGCGCCGATCATGTTGCCATGCTGTGTCGACTTGCGAATCCTGCAATGCTATGAATCGCGTTGAGACTGGAGACGGCTCACGCGCCGCGAACGAGCATTCAGAGCTACATAGTAATAGAGTTTTCACTGTCAATAACAGTGCGGATTAAAATAAAAAAAATGCTCAAAAGTTTAAGATTGGCCGTACATTTTCGTTTTTTATTCGTGCTGATTGGAAAATTAGTTCGTGAGAACGAAAATCGTAAATCTAGTCATTTTTCAAGCTCTGTCATTTTCTATCTCAAAAACTATTGATTTTAGCAAAAAAACGTCAGAGAGACAAAAAATGTTAATTTTGACCCAATTTAGCGTATAGAATTTTTTCGGAATTTTTGTTCACAGTTTTTATCTTTTAAAATCTAGATCCAACGTTTTAGCGACTGAAAATGGTTAGACTCGATTCCTTATATTATTCTGCGAAAAAGCATATACATATATACACTTTCTTTGTTGAAGTGATCATTAAAAAGTTACAATTTTTTGTTTAAAAAATCAAAACTTTGAACAAAAAATTCGAAAAAATTCTGTAAGCTTAATTGGGTCAAAGTGAAACTTTTTTGTCTCTCAGACTTTTTTGATAAAATTAATAATTTTCGAGATAGAAGATGTCAGCTTGAAAAATGACTAGATTTACGATTTTCGTTCTCACGAACTAATTATCCAATCAGCACGAATAAAAAACGAAAATGTACGGCCAATCTTAAACTTTACTGAATATTTTTTAAATTTTAATCCGTACTGTTATTGGCAGTCAAAACTTTATTAGAATGAAGCTCTGAATACTCGTCCGCGGCGCGTGAGCGGTCTCCAGTCTCAACGCGATTCATAGAGTCGGCGATCGCCTTAGAGTAAGTATTTGAGACATGACTTGTACATTGACGGGAATGCGATGGGATCGTGATTGCTCGCGTTAGTATTTATTGCGCAGGCGTAAAGCAGGCTGAGCATTCGAGGATCGCGATCGAAGCAGTCTGCGACAAACCACTGACTAGAGACATTAAGATTATAATAAGAGTTTAGTACATTATACAGTTTTGTTGATAATAAATAAATCAGACATATTGTAAAATAAAGTGAAAGACGGGGCGGCCTGTTCGTCGAGCTAGTGGCGTGCACCTACTATACTGGATAGTAGTAGACGGATGTGCGTATTCGGTAATTTTTAGAATAATCATTGGTCCTTCGAGCCGGATACGGCACATATCATAGTGGTGTCGCAGATTGGCGAGATATTAAATTCGGAGCACGTGTCGCCGTCCGGAAGCGGAGCATAGGAATCTCACGGGCAGCACAGGACACGGAGAGCATGGAGGGTCAAGGCAGATGAGGGCGCGGGTGGACACAGAACACGGTGCAGCCGGGAGCTTCTGGGGTCCAGCGGGAGCGCAGAGAGAGGGACCAACAGAGGGCGAGAGAGGACGACATAGGCTGGGACCGTGAGACAGAGTGAGAGGGCTCAACAATACAAAGGTCGGTCTCCATATTTGTTGTCGCATATCTTGGTTTCCTGTCTCTTTCCTTCGAGCCTTGATATACCGGGTCGCGCATTCCATTGAATAGTAATTCCCGTACATTTCAATTCATCTGAATCGCATAAGTATCGAAAATGAGCAGTGAGGCTAGAGAACAGAACTTGAGAAGGAAGTGTGCAATTATAAAAGCAGCATGCACGCGTTGTAAAAACTATGTAGAGTCCAGCGCGGCAACGCCGGAGGGGAGTTCGCAAGCAAGGATGCGTTTGGAAAAATTGAATGAATGTTGGACACAATACAATGAGGTACAAAGCGAGCTGGAAACGATGGACGTGGCAGAGGCGGAAGATAGAGAAATATTCGAGAATATTTTTTTTCTCGTAAGCAGTAAGTTAGAGGCGATTATCGAGGGATTACGCGCGCCGTCGCCTGCCGTGTCTGTTGACGTTTCTTCACTGCGGTAATAACAGTAAGAGTAATATTAGACTGCCGAAAATTTTGTTGCCGACATTCTCGGGCGACCTTGAAGGATGGTTCCCGTTTCATGATACATTTCGATCGTTAATACATGATAATGACGCGTTGACAAATATACAGCGATTTCATTATCTTAAATCAGCGTTGATAGAGAAGGCGGCTGAAGTGATACATTCGTTAGAGATATCGGAGAGTAATTATATGGTCGCATGGACCATGCTCAAGGAGCGTTATGATAATAAACGGCTCGTGATTCAGAATCATATTAAAGCTATTTTTGAGCTACCCAGCGTAAATAAAGAAAATCATGTAGTGTTGCGACAGCTAGTGGACGGTACTCTTAAGCATATGAGAGCCTTGAATGCGTTAGGTCGGCGTACGGAAGCATGGGATGATATTATCATTTATTTACTGTCCACTAAGTTAGATAGCGTAAGCGTGAGGGAGTGGCAGACCAGTTTGTTAGATACTAACATGCCGTCGCTTAAGCAGATGATTGATTTTTTATTGCATAAATGTCAAGCGCTGGAAGCAATTGATAGGAAAGTACCAAATGGTGTAGCGATCAATTTTAACGCAAGAAGCAAGAATACGAGTTCTTATTTATCCACGATAGAAGATGCATGTCCGATGTGTGGACAGTCCCATTTTTTGTTTTATTGCGAGCAGTTTAGGGCGTTGTCCGTGGATCAACGATGGAAGGAGGTAAAGACACGGGAGATGTGTGTTAATTGTCTTCGCGCGCGTGACCATTTGGTACGGAATTGTAAGTCGCGATCTTGCAAATACTGTCACAAAAAGCAAAATACTTTGTTGCATAGCGAGGCACGTCTTGACCGGTCGGGTGTGACTTACGGATCAGTGGGAGAGATCGGCGGCGCTAGCACTGTGGTCGCCACCACTCGATCTGTCGTGGCGGCGGGTGTGCCGCAAGTGCTGTTACCTATGGCATTGGTTTCGGTATATGATAAATTGGATGGAGAGCATACGTGTCGCGTGCTATTAGACAGCGGTTCGCAATCCAATTTCATAACAGCTAAATTGGCGGGGCAGTTGGACTTGAAGCACGAAACGTTAAGAGTTTCGGTCACTGGCATTGGCCAGTCGGTGATGCAGGCGCATCAGAAGGTGAAGATTAAGATAGGCTCACGTCATAACGCATTTCAGGTGGAAGCCGATTGTATTATTGTAAGTAAGATTGCGGATCCGTTACCAAACTCAGCAATTAAAAAAGATAGCATTTATATACCAAGAAACATCAAGCTTGCGGATCCGGGGTTTCATCTGGCCTCCGGTATCGACGTGCTGTTGGGCGCTGAATTGTTTTGGCGGTTGATGTGTATAGGGCAAATTAGAAGATCTAGGGAGCAACCTACCTTACAAAAAACGCACTTCGGTTGGATAGTATCTGGGATGGTACCGGCGGCGCAACGGGGTAGAGAAGACAATAGGCGGTGTCATGCTGCAATTACCAATACGGAATTGGATAATCAATTGAATAAATTTTGGCAGCTGGAGGATTACGGAGCTGGACAGCTATTAACGAGAGAAGAGCAGGTGTGTGAAGAGCATTTTGTGCGGAAGGTACGAAGGAACTCTCAGGGTCGATTCGTGGTTAGCCTTCCGATCAGGGAGGAGAAATTGGTACAGCTGGGTGAATCCAAAGAAATTACACTTAAAAGATTTTATGCGTTGGAAAGAAAGCTTAACAAGCAACCTAGTTTAAAGGAGCAATATTCAAGTTTCCTAAAGGAATATTTAGATCTCGGTCATATGCGTAAGGTAGAGGAGTCGGAGAGTGTGATCACACCACATTATTATTTACCGCATCATGCGGTTATTAAGGAGTCGAGTGCCACTACAAAACTGCGGGTGGTTTTTTATGCATCGTGTAAGACGATTAATAGCGGGACGTCGTTGAACGATATACTGAGGACGGGAGCAGTGGTGCAACAGGATCTAATGTCCATTGTAACACGGTTTCGTACGTATCGGTATGTTTTGAATGCAGACATATCCAAGATGTATCGACAGATACAAATTGAGCCTGATCAAACAGCTCTACAAAGAATTTTATGGCGTAACAGCAGTAAGGAGAGTATCGAGACGTATGAATTATTAACGGTTGCATATGGTACGGCCCCTGCATCATTTTTGGCGACGAGGTGTTTAAAGTATTTGGCGGAAACTGGGAGTGTGGAATATCCACGTGCGGCTATCGTGGTGGCGCGAGATTTTTATATGGACGATTTGTTAACGGGTGCAAACTCGTTGGAGGATGCGCAGATATTAAGAGATCAGATTATACAATTGCTTGCAAAGGGTTGTTTTCAGTTGAGAAAATGGTCATCCAATTCGCAAGAGCTACTTCAAGGAGTGCGCGATGACGCGGCGGATTCGTTGTTGACCATAGACAAAGATGCCAACGATCGCACGCTGGGATTGCAGTGGTGCACAATAGAGGATCATTTCCGGTTTGCAATTCCCTCACCAGATAAGACTTGGATAACTAAGAGGGTGGTGCTTTCCCGCATAGCACGGCTCTTTGATCCATTGGGCCTGATCGGACCGGTGATTACCTCGGCTAAGTTGCTGATGCAGCAACTTTGGCAGTTGCGGATTGACTGGGATGCTTCGCTTCCGGCGGCAGTGCATACCGAGTGGCTGCAATTTGAGAGAAGTCTTCAGGATTTGCATGGGTTGCGAGTGCCGCGGTCAGTAATGGAGGATTATCCGTATGGAGTGGCGCAGATTCACGGATTCTGCGATGCGAGTACGCGGGCGTACGGTGCGTGCCTTTATATACGTATTAAAGATGCTCGAGGCAGGCATTCGTCTCGATTGTTATGCTCGAAGTCTAGAGTCGCGCCTGTAAAGTGTACATCGTTGCCTAGATTGGAGCTGTGTGGAGCGGTGTTGTTGACTCAATTAATGAGCAAGATCGTGGATATTTTGAATTTGGAGATTGAGCGTAGATATTTTTGGTGTGACTTTGTAACGATGCACCCATCGTCCTAGCCAGGACACCCGGCCGGACGCCGCTGCACCGCCAATGCGATGCAGCGATGAGGGCGCATAAGCGCCCGATAAAATTGAAAACATAATTCACAGGTACACGGTGGCAGTAACGGTCGCAACGCGCCGAGCACCGCCGAACACAGATCGGCTCTCGCGAACTCCCACCGCCCGGAATCGCACACACCGCAAGTACCGAGCGGCGGGAAAGACCGAGAAAACGCGAAGCCGCGCGAACCAGGCATTTTGGCAAGCATTAAAACTCGAGAGCAAGAGCGAAAAGATACCATTCCTGCTCCTGATCCGAATCCAGACAAATCTCCGAAAATCTTGCGAGCCTAGGAAAACGGGTTGGAGAGTTCTCCGACTCCGCTGAGAGTTCTCAGACGGCGATCAAGAACCAGCCAGGCACCGAACAACGAGAAAAGGGGGCAGAGAGTACTCTGCCTCTGTCGAGAGTTCTCGACGCTCGTATAGACCGGCCGCCGAAAACTATTGCACTGACTGATCAACCCTCGACAGGGGGTGAAGAGTTCTTCACCTCCGCCGGGTGTTCCCGGCCGTTGGTCAGCGGTAATACGCACTGACACCCCGCGTAAGAGAACAACCGATAGGCCGCGATAAGCATTATATGCAGGGATACAGCGACGCGAGAAATTTAAAAGGCTCGACGCATAGCGCACACACGCACACCGACATACACGCACGCACACACACACCGATTTCTACACACCGTTCCGCGCCAGTGGGAGCGACACGACGGATCCCGCCCGCCGAACGCACATCAACGCACACATACACGGCACACACATACACACCGACACACCGCACGACGTGCCTCGCACGGCACGCCTGTTTTTGCACCGG